TTTTTTTTTTTTTTTTTTTTTTTTTTTTTCTTCTTTCTGTGCTCCCGTGAACGCGGCGTGGAGTTGGAAGGAGCGGGAATAAGAGGAGGGACACGCAGCCGGGGAGGGCTGACACCCCGATTTCCTTAACTTGCGTGTGGATTTGGGATGAACAGCTCTTCCCGGCGGGGGGAACACGGTGTCCTGGAGTGGGGGGGGCCAACACTGGGAATTGCCCCACAGAGCCAGGGCACCCCACGGAGCATCTTCCCAGCCCCACTTCCCACCAACCCCAGGTTTTGGGGGGTCTGTCCCCAGCATCCCCGGGTTTTGGGGGGGGCTGTCCCCGCCATCCCCGGGTTTTGGGGGAGCTGTCCCCAGCATCCCCGAGTTTTGGGGGGGCTGTCCCCAGCATCCCCGGGTTTTGGGGGGGCTGTCCCCAGCATCCCCGGGTTTTGGGGGAGCTGTCCCCGCCATCCCCGGGTTTTGGGGAAGCTGTGCCCAGCATCCCCGGGTTTTGGGGGGGCTGTCCCCAGCATCCCCGAGTTTTGGGGAGGCTGTCCCCAGCATCCCCGGGTTTTGGGGTGCTGTGCCCAGCATCCCCGGGTTTTGGGGAAGCTGTGCCCAGCATCCCCGGGTTTTGGGGGGGCTGTCCCCGCCATCCCCGGGTTTTGGGGAAGCTGTGCCCAGCATCCCCGGGTTTTGGGGGGGCTGTCCCCAGCATCCCCGGGTTTTGGGGGGGCTGTCCCCGCCATCCCCGGGTTTTGGGGGGGCTGTCCCCAGCATCCCCGGGTTTTGGGGGGGCTGTCCCCGCCATCCCCGGGTTTTGGGGGGGCTGTCTCCAGCATCCCCGGGTTTTGGGGGAGCTGTGCCCAACATCCCCGGGTTTTGGGGGAGCTGTCCCCGCCATCCCCAGGTTTTGGGGGGGCTGTCCCCAGTATCCCCCCGTGTCCCCCGTGGGCTGGGCGGTGCCCCGGGGGGGGATGCCGCAGCCGTGACGTCACGGCGCTCAGCCAATGGGCGCGGGCCGTGGCGGGGTGGGGCAGGGGCGGCCCCGGTGGGGACCGGGGCTGCTCCGGGGGGTCCCGGTGCCCCCCGCTCTCCTCATGCAGGGCATGGGGAGCCTCCGGCTGGGCAGCCGCGCCGTCATGTACACGGCGGAGACCCTCCCCAAGGGCAAGAACCGCGTCATGGGGGTGAGTTTGGGGGGGTCGGGGGGGGAGAAACGCTTGGAAAATCCTCCCTCAGCCCGTTCCCGGGGGATTCCTGCTGATCCCTCGAGGGGTGCTGTGTATCCGGAGAGGCGCTGGGATTAAGGCATCCCACATCCCCAGGGTGGCTCTGTGGGCAGGGGGGTTGAGTTGACCCCGTTCCCACCCATCCCGCTCTTCCAGACCATCCAGATTATGACGGGATTCCTGCACATCGGTTTCGGGATCGTCCTGACCACGCTGACCAATGTCTACACCTCCGTCTTCGTCATCGGAGAGATCCCCTTCCTGGGCGGCGTGTCTGTACGTGCCGGGGGGCTGGGAAGGGATTCCCACCGGGAAAGACCGCCTGGGGTGGGAGGGGTTGCCCACCAGGAAGGGAATCGCACCAGGGAACAATGCCCACAGGGAAGGGAATCTTGCTGGGGGGGATGCCAGCAGGTGGGATGCCCATTGGAAGGGATGCTCACAGGGAATGATGCACTTGTGGCTCCCATGACCTCGGCAGCTGGGAATCAAGGGCAGGAGAGGTCAGTGTGTCCCCTGTGCTACCTCTGGGCAGGTTTGGGGTGCCCTCAGCGCCAGCTGAGCCCCGTCTCTCCTGCTGCAGTTCATCATCTCCGGGTGCCTCTCCATCGGCGCTGAGAAGAGCCCCACGGAATGCGCGGTGAGTTTTCCCAGGAGCCCGCCGGGAGTGATCCCATGGGGGAGGTGGGGTGTCCCCCTGGTGTTTTGGGGGGGTCTGCCACCCTCCCCCCTCCCCAAAGCCCCCCGGGTGCCCACAGGTGAAGGGCAGCCAGACCATGAACGTCATCAGTGCGATCTTCGCGCTCCTGGGAATCGTAGCCTTCATCGTGGACCTCAACCTCAACGGGCTCTACCGCTCCAGCTTCAACTACTACAGCTATCTCGTCCTGGTAAAATCCCACTTGGTGGAATTCCTGCCCTTGGGAACCCTCCCACGGCCTTTTCTCCAGCCCTCAAGGGCTGTTGTGCCCTTTCCCAAATCCCTGTTGGGGTGGCGGTTTCTCCTCTGCCGGCACGACCTATTTTCGGCTGGTACCTTGGGAGATGAGTCACCCCCTGGATGCATCCATGAGCCATAAAAACGTGGCATGGAGGGCTTGGAGTGAGACCTTGGAGCCAGGGATGCAGAGGGAAAGGAAGGGGGAGCCACAGAATGCTGCCCTGTGTGAGGTTCATCCTCGTGGGCGCTGTTGGGGGGGTACTGACGGGGTTTTCCCCCTCCTGGAGCTCGCAGGGAATGGGATTTCCATCGTGCTGCTCATCTTCACCATCCTGGAATTCTGCATCGCCGTGGCCACCGCCAATTTCTGGTGCCGGGCCACCCGCCTCAGCTCCAACGAGGTAAGATGAGGGGGGTGGCAGGGATGGATCCCAAAAAGTGCATCCCGTGATCCCAGTGTCTCCCATAATCCTGGTGTTCCCCAGGCCATGCTGATTGTCCCCAGTGCCACCCGTGTGGATCTGGCCGTGCCACCGGCGGAGCTGCCTCAGCCTCCCAGCTACAGCGAGGTGATCCAAGCCTGGATAGGGGCGGAATCAGCTTTGGGATGGCTCCTGGGATGACAGTCCCCATCCTGCTGCCATCGCTGTCCCCTCCCTGGGGAAACATCCCACCCCAATCCCCAGGGAGCATCCTGGAGCATCCATCCCTCTGCTCTGGGAATGGGGAGGAGATCCCAAACCTCCGTGGGTGGTGGGTGCTGAGCGTGGGGTCCCCCCAAATCCTGCCCCCTTTCCAAAACACCTCCTGGTCTCTTTGCAGCTAGCTGCTCCTGAAGTTTGACACCGAGGATGTTGGAATGGGATCCTGCCTCCATCACTCCTAAATCCCAGAGCTACGGCATCCTCCTCCCACTGTGCTGCCGGCTGGGATGCGCTGGTCCCCCCTCAAAAGCCAGGGACACCCCCAAATTCCCTGCCCCTCTGCCCCTGGGCCTGGTCTGAGGGGCTCCACTTGCTGGCTGCTGTGGGAAGGGGCTTCTCCAAGGGGGAAATCTTGGGCAATTCCTGCCTGTGAATCCCTGGCGGGATGCTGGGGTTCGCTCATGTTGGGGTTCAGGAATTCCTGGTGGTTTGGAGTGACCCCGATGTGTGCTGGGAGCCGGGCAGGTCACCGGAGCATCTACCTCGGCTCGTCCCCTGTTGGCTTCATTTTCTCTTGGGAATAAACGCTCTCTCCGGGCTTGTGTCTCTTGAATTTGGGAATTTTCAGTGTGGGAGCTACACTTCCCCCCTCACAGAGCTGCTGCCCCTCAGGAAAGAGGCTCATCCTGCCTGATTTAGGGATACTTGCTCTCTCTTTCCTGATGGAATTCTGCCCGCCTTGAACTCCTGGTACCTGCTTGCTTTCCCTGAGAGGAATTCTGCTCCCCTAAACCCCTGGCACCATCTCCCAAGGGAGTTTTGCTCCTCTAAACTCCTGGTGCCTGCTCTCCTGAGGGAATTCTGCCCCTCTAATCCCCTCTCCTGCTGGAACTCCACTCTCTAAACCAGGGTACCTGGTCTCCCGAGGGAGCTGCGCTCCCCAAACCCCCTCCACCCCCCCATTCCAGCACGGTTCCGCTATCTTTAGCTCAGCCGGAGCAGCCGGACAGCCGGCGGCGATGCCGGTGACGCCAGCACATCCCGGTTCTTCCGCCACCGGAGAAGCTGCCCCGGGGCTGGAGCCGCTCTTGGAGGTGACACGGGGACACTGGTGTCATGTGCTCCCTGTTCCCACAATCCTGGGTGGTGGGAATGGTGCTGAGGGGCGCTCCCAAACCTTATCCATGCAGCAATGCCTAAAAATTTCTTTATTTTCAGGGAAGGAAAAGGGCTCTGGGATCATTTTGAACAGGGCCAGGTTTGTCAGCTCCTGACAAGCTCATTTATGGCTCCACTCTTCATTATCCTGCATCTGTGGGAATGCTGGTGGATTTAACGAGGCGCTGATGAGCATCCAGCGGCATCAAATTATTTAAGGATTATCCCAAGCTCATGGAAATGGAAAGGTGGGATGGAGGTGAGGAAAGAGACCCCAGTGCCAATTTTCCAAGGGGTGGGAACATCCTGGTGAGTTCCCAGTGCTCTGGGGGAGAATTATCTCAATTTTTGGGGGCAGGATTAATCCCAAATTTCCTCTCCAGTGCCAGAGTGGGATCAGTGACCTCCTCTTTGAACATTCCCCTAGGTTTTGGGGTCGCTCAAGTGTTTTTCTTCTCCTTTCCACACTCCCTGACAGTGCTCCTGCTGCTCAGCCAAAGCCTCATGGATTATTCAGTCCCTGTCAGTTATTTCTGTTCCCGGCTCTGAAAAAATAATGAGCCCGATCAGTAGGAAAAGCCCCAGGGATTTGGGGAGCAGGAGGAACAGGCTGCCTCTGCTCAGCCCATGGCCACAGCCCATTACAGGTCCAGCTCCTCACCTGCGGCTCTGGAGCATCCCAGCCTCTCCCAGCTCCATGGAGACCACCACGAAGCCATCCTGCCTCCCATCCAAGCTCTGTGTTTTCCTAATGTGGTGGTTTCCTGGGAAGGAGGTTTCCTCCTCTTCCACCAGCACCAGGCTCTGTTTTCCTGCAGTATCCCAGTGTTCAGACGTGGCTTTCCCTGAAAATGCTGGACTAAGTGTTTAAGGCTTGATGAGAATGTGGGGCTTTTAAATATATTTTTATTTTTAGGTGGGAATTTGCAGATCTAGGGGGAGCGGAGACTTCCAGGAGTTAGGAATAGCAGGTGACAGGGGCCACAGAGTTTTGTGTCCCTGCTGGTGATGGTCCCTACGGGAAACCAAAACCCTTGGAGGAGCTGGAAAGGGGAACTGTGGGATAAACTGGGGTGTCCCAATGTCTCTCCCCCATGGGAAGAGACTGACTTTGGGCACTCCTCCAGCACCTAAAGGTGCCTCAAGAGAGCTGGAGAGGGACTTTAGAAAAGAGCCTGTAGGGCCAGAACAAGGGGGAATGGCTTCCCACAGCCAGGGGGTGGGTTTAGATGGGATACTAGGAAGAAATTTTTCCCTGTGAGGGTGGTGAGGTGCTGGAATGGATTTTCCAGGGAAGTTGTGGCTGCCCCATCCCTGGAAGTGTTTAAGGTCCCATTCCAGGACTGTCAGTGGAGGTTGATGCCGGTGAAGTCTTGGAAAAGTTTTCTGGAACTTTTCTGCAGCCTCAGGAGTCTTCCCGAGAATGAGTAGATCAAAGGCTGGAATGTCACGTGCAGGGGTTGATGGACACATCTGGGACAGGGTTTGGGAGCAATGTCACAGTGTCCCAAATGCCAGGTATGGATCACCCCAGCAGCCAGCGATGCCCCCCCCAACCTCCCGCCTACTCCCTGCTCTAGATTTCCTAATCCAGGATGGACACTTGGATGTTTAAAGCCAGAAAACCCGAAACCTCTCCCAGAAAACATGACTTTCCTTCTGGAATCAGTATGGAAAGAGCCCTGTGGGAAGCAGAAACACCTGGAAGCAAAGCAAAATGTTGACTTTGGGTATTTTTATGAGGATATAAAGTTTGTCCCAGGAAGCAGCAAGTTTCTTTGGAGAGCTTTTCTCTGTCGTAATCTGTTTTCTTTGGAAAAAAACCTCACAGATTTTGGGGTTGGAAAAAGAAGTTTGGTTCCACCAGGCTCATAAATTTTGTCCTGTGCTGGTGGGAGGGAATTTGGGAGGGTCTCGCTGATCCCCCCTGAGCATCCAGTCAGGCTTCCCCCATCCAAAACTTGTCCTAGAAAATAGGAAAATGAACATTAAAATCCAAGGAATGTGTTGTATATATCTACAAAGCCAAAAATTCCTGCAAAGAAAAGGTTGGAAAGCTCCACCACCTGGCCCTCCTGCTTCCCTGCATCTGCTTCAAAGCTTCACCTCCTCTGGAATCCGCTTCCAAAACAAATCCTGACATCCTACCTTGGGCTCCTGCCATCCCCAGCTGGACCTGGGTTTATTTAGGAAAGAGGAAAGTGCTTTTTACATGGATCCCTTGCTCAGAAAGTGGGGTTTGGGGGGCTCAGGGCAGTCACGGCTGTTCCTGCCTGCAAGGCTGGAACTTCAGGAATGCTGTAGCAATCTGGAAAGGCGGATTTGGGAGGAAATCTACCGTGTAGGGTGGTTTTGGCTGGGAATGTGAGCCGTGGATAATGGTGGAGGATACCCTGGCTGACTAAAGGCTAAAGAGGGGATCCCAGAATTTCCACGGAGGCTCAAGTGTTCCTTCCTGGGGCTGGAATGAGATCCCTGGGATTGTTAGGACTGGAGTGTTGAGAGGGATGAGGCACCAGCAGGAATTAAAGGCTCTGAGGCATCAAGAATGTGATGAAGAGGCTGAATCTCATCCATGTCCATGTTTTTCCTGGAAAGCTGTGCTGCCAGATGCAGCCCTTTACAAGGCCAAGTGCACGCTTCCATCAGGGATGCAGGATGGAGGAAGGTCATGGGTGGGATGGAGGAATGCCATTGGAGCTGGGATGGAGACGTGAGTTGCTACTCTTTGCTCTCCAGGTCTGTTCTTCCAGCTCTTTTTTAGTTTACAATTTGGGCTGGTTTGGAGGGGGTGTCCCATTCCCTGGTGTGTGGGAGCATGGGAAGGGCACAGAATCCTGAAATGGTTTGGGATGGAAGGAGCCTTGAGGATCATCCAGTTCCATCCCCCTGCCATGGGCAGGGACACCTCCCACTAGCCCAAGTTTTTCCAAGCCGGCTCCAGGGCTGGAAGCCATTCCTGCGCTCTGGAAGCGCGGCGCTTCCAAACGCGGCCTCTCGGCTCCCTCTAGAGCCAGAGAGAAGGAAAAAACTTCCACAAAGTTGCTCCACCTGCTCCTGAAATCGTCAGCTGGAGGGTCCTGTCCTTTCCCAGGCAGAGAGAGAGGTGTTGGGGTGATGCCAGAATCCTGGACCTAAAAATTCCCGTTCCACCAAGAAATTCCTACCTTGCACACATCAGACATCCAGGAAACCTGAGGAGTTCTCCAGGTCGGCATGGGGTATCCCAATGCTCCTGGAGAAAAGGACATGGCTGTTTTCTGGGAGGAGGGAGGGATGGAGGCAGGCAGGGGCCTCTGAATCCCTCAGGATCCCCTCACCATGTGTGGTGGCTCCATTCCCAGCCCGAGCTCCCATTTCCCATCATAAATAACAGCATCTCCTTTCCCTCTGGTACCCGACAGAGTGGGTCAGGGATCCCTGAATCCCTTCTGTGTGTCCTCACTGGGGACAAATCCACAGGGAGGGAGAATTCCCAAAAATGGCAATAAAGGAGCTTCCTTGATAACAGGGTTTATAAAGTTTCCTGTCTCAGTGTGAGTTTTTCCTGGCAAGTGGGCAGGGTTAGGTTATGAACACCTCATTAGGTACCAAGCTAAGTACAGGACTGTTTCCCAAGCAAAGCATCCACAATTTGGGATGGAAAGTGGGTCTTGGAGCATCCCAAGGAAAAGCATCCAACTCTTCCCAAGGATGCAGAGCCCAGGGAGGGATTCCCTGTCCTTCCCTCCCTCTTCCTGTGCAGGATTTTGGGAGCCTCCAAAGCCGCCTCGTTGAGCAAGAGGGCCCTGACGGGAATTCCATGAGTGAGCTTCCCACAGGGAGCAAAGGGCAGCGGGAGTGTGTCCCTGCCAGGCCAGCACCTCCTGGGGGTTTTGGACAGCAAAGGGACTGTGGTGAGGAGGAAGAGGAGGAGGAAGGCAGCTGGGAATTCCTTCAGCTTCCTGGGCTCGCTCCCAGGCCATGGCGGCCACCACGGTGACGGACGCCGCCAATGTGAGGATCATCACGGAGGTGATCCCGGCCACGGATCCCCAGGCACCCCAGCTGGCCTCAGGCTCCCAGGCCCCTGCCAGGACCTCATTCCAAACACATGGCTTCCAGAGGGCTCATCCCAGGGTGTTGGGGGTGAGACATGGCCCTCCAGGGGCCCGGCAGGGATTGGGGATCCACAGGGATTGTCCTGCTGGATGTTGTCCCTGGCTGGCTGGAGAGGATGTTGGGACAGGTGTCTCTCCCAGTCCCTTCCCAGCACTGTGATGTGGGATTGGGGTGGGATGGGTCTCACAGTAATGGGATAGGGATCCCTCTTCCTCATCCTTCCCCAGATCATCCACATCTTCACTGGAATTGTCCACATCTGCTTTGGGATCATCCTGACACTGTCGGAGCACAGCAACCCTTCCCTCCCTGTGGCCAGCGGCACCCTCTTCTGGCTGGGGATCCTGGTAAGTTGGGACGAGGATGTGGCAATCTCGGGGTGTTTGTGCATCCCTGAACCCCAGTTCCCAGCTGGAGGGACACCGGGAAGGGTGCCACGGAAAGGTGCCTTGCTGCTGACACCAATTCCTGCTGTTTTCCAAGTAGCTCCTGGTCTCGGGCTCGTTGCTGGTGGAAAGTGAAAGGAGAGACAGCCCTGTGCTGGTAAGATCCAGGCTGGGACGGACAAGGTGTCCCCCCATTCCTTATGTCCCTTCTAGCAGCTGCCAGGACCCCTCCATAGTCTGGATTCAGGATCCATAGGCCAGTCTCCTGCTTGGGAAGTGCCCAGCTCTCCCACATGGAGCACAGGATGGGGCTCATCGTGGGATGAGGGGGATAAAAGTTCCAAGGAGACCTTCATAGCTTTGGAATCACTGTGGGATAAGTAGGACAAAACTGGGTGGCTTCTCCAGGAGATCTCTGATCCCGGTTGAATAATCCATGTGGGAAGCAGCCCTTCCCGGGGTCCGTGTCACCGGGTGCTTCCCGCAGGTCAAGACCTGCTGTGTGGTCAATGTGGGCGTTGTCCTGGGCACGCTGGTGGCCACCGGGATCCATGGCACGGCCATCAGCCGGGTCCTGCCCGGCTGCGAGGAGCCCGAGCCCTTCCAGACCCTCCCGGAATGGTGCCTCAGCATGGAGAGCAAGGTAGGGACACCCGGGAAGGGAATCCCAAGTCTCTGGGCGGGCTGTTCAAGGATCCAGCTTCTGTTCGGGTGGTGGATGCCGGGATATTCCCCTTCTCCTCCTCCTTGCAGATGCTGAGCAACGGGCTGGATTCCACCTTGGTGCTCCTCATCCTCCTGGAATTCTGCGTGGCCGTGGCGGTTCTGGCGTTCGGATACGACGCGGTCCGGCAGCAGACGTACACCCAGCTGGTGAGGGAGGCGGGGATCCACGGGGACCCCTGGAAATCCCTGGAATGCTCACCCACCCCTTCCTTCCCCCGAAGGGCCGCCCCGATCCGGGCGTTCCCGTGTCCCTCGCAGAGATTTCCCAGGATTTCCCTGTTTTTGCTTTCCCAGGCGCTGTAGCCGCGGCCAAGCCCCGCACGTGCTGCCGCATCCCGGGGCGGGTCCCGCTACCGGAGCCCCCTGCGATGCCCCCAGCGTGTTCGGCCCCCAATAAAGGCCTCTCCCCCAGCCCAGCCCGCGCGTGTCTCCGGGGGTTACTCGGGGTACGGGGGGCCTCGCCCCGGCTGTGTCTGGAGGAATTCGGGCGGTCCCGGTACCGGCGGCCACGGTGGTGGGCAGTGCTGCCCGGCACAAAGATGGCGGCCGTACCCGGTACAAAGATGGCGGCCGCCGCCGTGCGCGGAGCGCGTTGCCCAATACAAAAATGGCGGCCAGGAAGGCGCTCTGGCTTCGCGCTTCCGCGGGGAGCGCTGCAATGACGTCATCTCCCTGCGACGCCGAGCCGCGTGGATCATGGAGGGGGAGAACGAGGGGACCCCGGGACCGGGACCGGGACCGGGAGCCACCCCAGAGGGGCCCGGCGGGGCCGCCTCGGCTCCGGCCGCGGCTCGGCGGCGGCGGAAAGGCGGCAAGAAGCGGCAGGAGGCGGTGGTGGCCATCCCGCGGGGCAAGCCCAAGTCGGGACGGGTGTGGAAGGATCCCGGGAAGAAGAGGTGGGAAGCGAGGCGGGGATCTGGGGGGCTCTGGGCTCCAGAAGGGATGTTTGAGGGGTCATGAGGTTTGGGGGAACTTTGAGGGGGACAGGATTGTTTGGGGGCCTCTCCGGGGCTTGTGAGGGCGTTCCGGAGATATCCATAAGCTTTAGGAAGGATCCGGAGGTGACAAGGATGACTTGGAGGGGATGTAGAGGAGGTGAGGATGCCGTGGGATGCTCCGAGGTTGGCGGAGTCTCATGGAATTCTGGAGAGTGGCCCCGGCTGCATGCCGGGGTTTTTGAGGATCCAACACCTCCCGTGTGCCCGCGCAGGTTCTCCCACATGATCCAGGACAAGGCGCTCCGCAGCTCCTGGGCACGGAAAATGAAGGAGAGGCAGGAGAGGAAGCTGGTCCGGGATCTGGCACGGCAGCTGGAGGAAGCCAAGCAGAGGGAGAAAGAGGTAACGGGACTCGGGAGCTGGAGAATTCCCATCTTTCCCAAGCACAATCCCATGTCTCTGCCCTCTTCCCGGCCCTTAGAGCTGTGGCAGAGCCCAGGAAAAGGGCAGCTGGGATGGAGAATTCCCTGTCCTGGTGCCAAATCCAGTCGCTGACGGTCACATGCCCCAAGTCACTGACTCGGAATAAACTCCCTGGGTCAATTCCAGCCTCAGCCGGGGTGGAAAAGCTGCTGGAATGACAGATTTCACACTTGGCTGGGCATTGGCTGGTTTGGGTTTAATCCCAGGGGAAGGGACCCGCAGGGAATGTTGTGGTGCTGCTCCCACAGGAAAAGAAGCGGCGGCGGGAGGAAAACCTGAAGCGGCGCCTGGAAAACGAGCGGAAAGCCGAGATTGTCCAAGTGGTGAGTCCCCTGTGCTGGCTGGGAACAGCCCTGGCAGCACCCCACAGCATCCAGCCCCCCGTGGATCAGCCTCCAATTTGCTCCAGTTCCTCTCTCTGTCTCTGGAGGATCCTGGGAGCACTGGGAGATTCCCAGTAAAGCTGGGCATGCTGGAAGCATGTCCCCCATGTTCTCCCAAACTTGGAACTGAGGGATAATGGGGTGGGGGAGTGAGGGGAATGCTGCACTGGTGGGGATCCATGTGGGGAAATCATGGATTTTCCATTGGGAAGAGAGCTGGGAGCTCAGGGTGGGTGTGGTGAAGAGCTCAGGGTGAGGATGGGGTGAGTTTTGGGATAAATCCCCTCCTAGATCCTGAATCCTTGGTGGTAGGAGGCTGGGAGCCATCCAGGCCCATCCTGCCTCATTCCCACACTCTGCTCCATTCCTGGAAATGCTCCAGGACAGGGCTTGGAGCCACCTGCACTAGTGGAAAGTGTCCCTGCCCATGGCCAGGGGGGGAACTGGGTCATCCCTAAGGGCCCTTCCAACCCAAACCATTCCAGGACACGATGATCCCATGAAATCTCCTCTCTTTTCCCATTTCCCAGATCCGGAACCCCCTGAAGCTCAAGAGGGCCAAGAAGAAGCAGCTGAGGCGGGTGGAAAAGCGGGATACGCTGGCCCTGCTCCAGAAGACGCCCGTGAGGCGCAGCACGGCCACGGAATGAGGCAGGATTTGGGATACTGCCACCAGGATCCTGCTCCTTCCCAGGGCTTTTCCCTCAGCTTGCCAGGCAGGAATGGCTGGCAGGACCCTCAGTGTTGGACAAACAACAGGACAGAGCTGGGGGGTGTATTCCACAGGCATTCCTGCTGCTGGATCCCCCAGTCCCTGAGGAATCAGGATGCAGCTGGTGCCAGAGGCTGGAACAGAACTTTGCTTTCCCAAATTTGCCTTTTCCTTATAAAAATGAATAGGAACTGAGACGGATTTGTTTCCAGTGGCTCTGGGAACTGGTGGCTCCAGCTGGGGCCTTCCCTAAGGCATTCCTAGGATTGGAGTGTGCCATGGGCCCTCATTCCTTGAAGGGAATTCCTGTTGGGAATGAGCCCCGGAACCCATCAGCAAGGAAGGGGGCATGTTGTCACACCCCCTCCTGTGTGGGGGCAATGCTGGGAATTCGCTGGGGGCTGGAAGTTGGAAATCCACATGGATTTAACATTCCTGTTTTTTTTGGTCTGTGAACACCCCTTTCTCTATTCCTGGGGGAGGGATGTGTGGTTGTGAGCCGGGATGGAGGGGATGGGGGAACAAAGGGGTGCACCGGCTGGAAAATGGGACTGCAGGAATCAGTGTGAAACCCTGGGATGGGAATGTGGGGCCCTGGAGCTTCATCCTGGGTGACAGTTTTGGGGGGGGAATTGGAACGGGGTGTGTCCCATCCGTGTCCAGGACGGGGGGGGTGCCACAGGGAAAGTGGGGACTGGTAGGAATTTCAGGGTGCGGCCGGGGCCAGGCGGGCACGGGGTCATGGGGCAGGAGGGCTCTGCCCTCGACATTCCCGGGTTAATGATTTCCAAGGACTCCTCAAACCTCTCCCTCTGCAGAGCCCACGGCCAGGCTTTGCCCAGCGGGGTAAGAGAGGGAAGCTGGGGCCCTGGGGGGCCGGTTTCCTGGTGGGACGGATGTGGGAGAAGCCGTGTCTCCTCCCAGGGCTGGACTGGGGCCAACATCCCTGTTCCCAGCCTGCCGTGCTGCACGGAGGGGAGCGGGGCGCCTGTGGGACTGGGGCGCTCCGAGCCTCTGGATCCCCACCCTGCTCCGGCTCCAGGGTGGGGAGGAGGAGAAGGAGGGGGGAGCGTGGGTGCTGGGAATGCCGGGGCTGGGAGACACATGGAAAAGGGGTGTCCCGGCTGCTGGGTGAGTTTTGGAGCAGAGGTTTGGAGTCAGGGGCGGGAGGTGCGGAGGGAGGGAGGGGATGGGGATAGGGAAACAGAGGACTGGGATCAGGGAAGGAGGGGACAAGGACCAGGAAAGAAGGGACAAAGGACCACGAGGGGATGGGGACATGGGAAAAAGGGATAGGCACAGGGAAGGAGAGATGCCAGCAGAACTATCTGGACCACAAACTCCACCCTGGAGGTCTCCCGTGAGGATCCCTAGCTCCAGGACCCTGCCACCAGCCCCCTCCTGGGTGTGGGACGCTCAGGGTGATTCCTGTTCCCAGGTGCACCATGGTGGAGGTGACAGTGACACCGCAGTCCTCGCTGGCCGACCGGCCAGTGCAGATCCGGGTGCGGGGACTGTCCCCATCCCAACTTGTCACCCTCCGGGCCTGGCTGAAGGACGAGCAGGGCGAGTGCTTCCAATCCCGCGCCTTTTTCCGCGCTGACGAAGCCGGAGAGGTGGATCCCGGGCTCCATGCTGCCCTGGGGGGCAGCTACTCCGGGGTCTGGCCCATGGGGCTCTTCTGGTTCCTGCAGCCCGACACCCTTTTCCGACGGCTGGTCAAGCGGGATGTGGCCGGCAGCCCCTTCCGCGTCCGGCTGGAGGTGTTCGACGGGCTCAGCATGGGCACGGATCCCCGGGAGCAGCCGCTGGGATCCTGCGAGGCCGAGCGGTGGTACATGGGCCCCGGAGTGCAGCGAGTGCCCATCCGTGAGGGAAGGGTCCGTGGCGCCCTGTTCCTGCCTCCTGGTGAGCACTGGGGAGCGGGGAATTCCGGGATATCCAACCTCGGGACTTGCAGGATGCTTCTTTTGGGAGCCCTTTGGTGCCCAACCTTGGGAACCCTGGGATACCCAGCCATTATTCCCTTGGGATATTGAACCTTGCGATCCTGGGGATGCCAAACATCGGGACCCCTGGGGAACAACGTGGGGACTCCTGGGATGCTAAACCGTAAGATTCCTCAGTTTTCCAGCCCTGGAAGCCCTGGGATAACAAACCTCAGGGCCCCTGGGATACCCAAAGTTTGGATTCTTTGGTTGTCCAGCCTTGGGATCCTTGAGATCTCGAACCTTAGGATGCTGGGATGCCCAGCCTCAGGACCCCCTGGATACTGGACCTTGTGCCCTCTGGGATGCCCAACCACGGAACCTCCGGGATGCAGGACAGCACCGGTGGCTCCCCATCCCTGACATTCTCCCTGTGTTCCCACAGGTCCGGGCCCCTTCCCCGGAGTCATCGACCTGTTTGGGGGTGCAGGGGGGCTGATCGAGTTCCGGGCAGGACTCTTGGCCAGCCAGGGCTTTGCCGTGCTGGCCCTCGCCTTCTTCGCCTACGACGACCTGCCCCGAGTCCTGGCCCAGCTGGATCTGGAATATTTCGAGGAAGCGGCAGAGCTGCTCCTCCGGCATCCCAAGGTGAGTCCTGGAGTGTCATCCTGGTGAGCAGGATGTCCAGGTGACCGGGATAATGTCCTAGGGTTGTCCCGAGTGCCGGGAATGTCCCAGGAGCTGGGGGATATCCCATGAGGACATCCTTGTCCTGGCACCCAGGGCTGTCCCAGTAAATGTATTATCCCTGTGTATTATCCCAGCTGGCTCCATTTCCTCTTGCTTCAGGTCCGAGGCCCCGGCCTGGGCGTGGTGGGTGTCTCCAAAGGTGCAGAGGTGGCCTTGGCCATGGCCACCTTCCTGCCACAGGTGGTGGCCACGGTGTGGATCAACGGTACAAGCTTCCTGTATGGAAACCCGCTGCTCTACAAGGAGCTCCGCATCCCTGCCATCCCCTACTACACCGAGCGCGTCCTGTTCACCGAGGTGGGAGCCATGGACAACTCGGCCATCTTCACCGACCCCCGGGATCCCGCCCACCGCGCCTCGGCCATCCCGGTGGAGAAGATCCGGGGAAAGGTATTGTTTGTGGTGGGAGAGGCCGACCGGAGCTTCAACAGCAAGCTCTTCGCCGAGCTGGCCCTGGCGCGGATGCCGCCGGAGAGCGGCCGGATCCTCTCCTATCCCGGCGCCGGGCACCTGATCGAGCCCCCCGGATCCCCCCTGTGCAGCAACTCCAGCATCCGGGGCACTCCCAGGCCATTGGCGTGGGGGGGAGAGCCCCAGCCCCATGCCCGGGCCCAGGAGCATTCCTGGCAGGAGATCCTGCAGTTCTTGGAGCTCCATCTGGGGTCGGTCGCCGCCATGAAGCTGTGAGGGGTGGGGAAAAGGGCTTGGGATCACCGGGATTGTCACTGCGGGGAATAAAGTGTCACTGGTGGCTCCTGCCTGTGCTCCTGGGAGATGATGTGTGGGACAAAGGGTTGGACACAGATTTAGGGGATATATTGGAGATATTTGGGAGATACATCAGATATATGTTGGATACATGTGGGATATATATATGGGATATATATTGGACATGCGGGATAGATCTATTGTGTATATATATCAGATATATATTGGACATATATATATAGGATATATATTGGATACATATGGAACATATATAGGATACAGAACAGACAGCTCAGACATATATTGGACATGTATAGCACATATATAAAATATATATTAGACATATCTATAATGTATCTAGGACATATATGGGGCACATATGGCCAATACCAGTCCAGCTGTGGCTCTGGGGACACACTGCTCTCTGCAGCTGCCCTCACTTCCAGAGGAGGTTTGAAGGAACCACATCCAGCCCCTGGCTCCTCATGCCCTCCCACCAGGATCCCTGTGCTCCTGGGAGCTGGCATGACCCCGTTCCCACACCCAGGGCATGGGACAGGGAGTGGCTGTGACCGTCACTGCGGGAAGGGTGGGGAGGGGTGTTGCTGTTTAATCCGCAGTAAAGATAAATCCCAGAAGGGAAACATGGGGAAAGGTAGGCAGAGGGAATGCATGTGGAGGACTTTGGATTGCCCTGTTGCACTGTCAGCAGGGTACAATCAGGGTGCAGCAGGGATTTGGGGTAACTGGCCTATTCCTTGTCCCTCAGACGTCACTGGGGCCATGCCAATGTGTCCCCTGGTCCCGTGGCTATTCCAGGAGTGGTGTGGCCAGAGGTCACCACTGTCCCCACTAGCTCTGGGGAGGTGGGCACACACCCGCCTCCTCTTTTCCCCCTGGATAACTTAATCCAGCTGGGCATCCCGCCTGGCACCAGCTCCATTCCCTGTTCACCGGGACAGCCTCCAAGTGTGGGATAAGCTTGGTTTGTCCCTGGTCACCGTGACACAGCCACAGGAGGTGACCACAGGGCTGGGGCACTGAGGTCACCGGCAGCACGGGAGCGAGGAGACCCGGGCAGGGCTCATCCCATGGAATCAGCTGATCCTGATCCCCCCTCCTCCCTGCATCCCAGCCATCCGGATATAAATCCACACCGCAGAGCCCCGTGCTCCGTCTGTGTCACCGCCATGGGACGGAGCTGCTCCTTCCTCCTGCTCCTCTTCCTCCTGTCCCCATGGCCCAGAGCCACCGTGGCACTCCTGCAGTACCGCTATGACTGTGGAGAGTTGGGAATGCAGCTCCTGGTCTTCCCATCCCATGGCCGTACTGTTCACTTCAAGGTTCTGGGTGAGTGAGGGGACTCCCTGGATCCCCTTGGGGTGCTGGATTTCTCTGGGATTCCCCTCAGTCCTGAAGTGTTTCCTGGTGATGGTATCCCAATGGGATGAGCCCAATGGCTTGGATGAGCTGCTGCTGCTGCCTGGGGGGTTTCCATGCATGTGTCACTTGCCCGTGTCCATGGTGTCCCCGCAGACGAGTTTGGCTCCCACTTTGACGTAGCCAACTGCTCCATCTGCCTCCACTGGCTGAATTCCAGGGAGGATGGTTCCGTCATCTTCTCCTCTGGTTACAAGGGCTGCCACGTCCTGTTCAAGGTGATGCTCCCGTCCCCTCTGCCGTCCCCTCCAGCAGGATGGGGGTGACTGTCCCTCGTGTCCCCCCGCAGGAGAACCGCTACGTCCTGCGGGTGCAGCTGGAGGAGCTGCTGTCCAGCGGGATCTCGGTCACCTCCTACGAGATCAACATGACCTGCCCCAAGCCAGGTGGCTCTGAGATGCTCCCAGATGGAAACCAGGAGAAGAGCCGGGACAGCGGAGTCCTGATCTCCCACACTGGCCTGCACCAGGTCTCCGAGTCCTCCCTTACCCTTACGGGATCCCACTTCACATCCCAAGATCACGTGGAGCAGGTTCACACCGTGGGACAGTACCAGCCCAGCTCAGTGCTTCCTGGGATCCAGCACCATTCCAGTCCACCCCACTCGGGGCTTCTGTCCCAGCCTGGTGGGGCTCATCCTGTCACCCAAATCCAGGGAAGCTTCTTCCGCCCAGCAGTGCAGCCCTCCCAACCCGGGGGGCAGAGTCAGCCAGGGAGTCTTCGCCCAGTGCTTGTATCCCAAAACCATCCCAGTTTGGCACATCACGGGAGTCAGACCCAGCCAGGGCACCTGCGTCCAGGGTCTGTATCCCAAAACCAGCCTGGGATGGTGCATCCTGTGGGCCAAAACCAACCAGGGATTCGCCCAGGGTCTGTATCCCAAAACCAGCCTGGGATGGTGCATCCTGTGGGTCAAAACCAACCAGGGATTCACCCAGGGTCTGTATCCCAAAACCAGCCTGGGGGTCAAAACCAACCGGGGCAACTCCGCCCACCGTTTGTATACCACAACCAGCCTGGGGGTCAAAACCAACCAGGGATTCGCCCAGGGTCTGTATCCTACAACCAGCCTGGGGGTCAAAACCAACCAGGGCAACTCCGCCCACCGTTTGTATACCACAACCAGCCTGGGGGTCAAAACCAACCAGGGACTCGCCCAGGGTCTGTATCCCAAAACCAGCCTGGGATGATGTATCATGGGGGCCAAAACCAACCAGGTACTCGCCCAGGGTCTGTATCCCACAACCAGCCTGGCTTGACCTCCACTGGTGCCCAGACTCCAGCAGGATTCCTGCACCTGGGACCTCAGCCTCTAAACCAGCCAGGAATATCTCGTCCCAGTCATCACTCCAATTCCCAAACTGGGCTCCCAGGTCACACTGGGCTGCTCCATCCCGGCCATCCCAGCCCGGCTTTGGTGCACCCAGGACTCTCATCCTGGCCAGGTTTCATCAGCCCTGGACTCCAGGCTGAGCCGCAGCCAGGCCTGGGACGCCCCGGGCTGCAGCCCCAGCCTGGATTGCTGCATCCTGGGATTCACTCCCAGCCCAGCCTGCTGCAGTCCACAGCGCTCTTCTACCCCTCGCCAGGGGCAGGTAAGGCAGGAAGATGAGATGCTGGGACAAAGGGGAACGGCCTCAAGGTGCTTTTCCAACCCACATTCCATGCTATGTCCCCTCTCTGCTTCCCCCCAGGAACGCAGCTGACGCGGGAGCAGTGCCAGGTGCCGGCGGGCCGGATGCCGTGTGTGGCTCCACAGGGACGGGATGCATGCCTGCAGGCGGGATGCTGCTACGACGACATGGACCGGACCACACCCTGCTATTATGGGAATACCGGTAGGACACCCGGAGGCACGTCCCAAAATCCCTCCCTGGTGCCCGGAGAGGGTGTTCAAGGTGATGGAGCCCCTCCGTGGTATCGCAGCCACCGTGCAGTGCCTGCTGGAGGGACACTTTGTCCTGGTGGTCCCGCGGGGAATGGTGGCCCTGCCGTACAACCTGGACAGCGTGCGGCTGGCCAGCAGCCAGGCAGGATGCGAGCCCCTCCGCGTGTCCGAGACCTTCGTCATGTTCCGCTTCCCGGTCACCCACTGCGGCACCACCGTCCAGGTAGGGCAGGAAAACCCCGGAGAACCCCCAGGTGGGCACGGTGGGGTCACTTCAGGATAGAAGTGCCCCCAGGATGCTCCCAGTCACTCCAAAACTTCAGGATAAAGAACTCACCCCCATGCTGCCTCCTGTCTCAAATCCTGATCCGTGCCTCCCCCCAGGATGTTTCCCATTCCAGTGTTCCCTACACAGGTGATTGAGGACATGCTGGTCTATGAGAACCAGCTGATCTCCACCATCGATGTCCAGGGATCCCGCCGTGGCTCCATCACTCGGGACAGCGTCTACATGTAAGGGAAGAGGGTGGAAAAATCAAGGCAGAGAGCCTGGATTCCCCCTTGCATCAAACCAGCCCTCACTCCTGCCACGTTCCTGGTGGTGTCCCCACAACCTGGGCTGAGGGGGCTGATGGAAGATTTGGGAGTCTCCCATCTTTCTCTCCCTCCTTTCCCCAGTCTCCGAGCTCGGTGCATCTACAACTCCAGCGACCTCCTTCCCCTGGGAGTGGAGGTGGCCGTGCCCCCCACAGTTGCCCCCCTGGCCATGCCGGGCCCGCTGGGGCTCCAGCTGCGGATTGCTACCGGTGAGTGCTCCACATCCCACTCTCCATCCCGCTCCACATCCCGCTCAACCCCTCCCAACATTCCCACAGATGAATCCTACAGCTCCTACCACGCCGTGGGTGACTTCCCCCTGGTGAGGGTGCTCCGGGACCCCATCTATGTGGAAGTCCGGCTGCTCGAGAAGACGGATCCCAACTTGGTGCTGGTGCTGCACCACTGCTGGGCCTCCCCTGGCTCCCATGCCACATCCCAGCCCCAGTGGCCCATCCTGGTGGAGGGGTGAGTGGAAAAGGATGGGAGAATGGAAGTGAGGGGATGTCACTGTGCTGACTGTCATTGTTTCCTGCCCAGGTGTCCCTTCCAAGGGGACAACTACAGGACACGGCTGATTCCAATGGGTCCGGCCTCTCCAGAGCTGCCCTTCCCCAGCCACTACCAGCGCTTTGTCATCTCCACCTTTGCCTTCGTGGAGCCCCCTGGAATGGCTGTGCTGGAGGGGGAGGTGAGGGGGATCCCCCTGAATCCATGTGTTGGGAATCTCTCATCCCAACATCTCCAAACCCACCCCAGCACTGACCTTGCTTGCAGCTGTCCAGTCTCTTCCTGTTGGGCAGCTCACGCTGCTTTTGGGAGGTTCCCCGAAGCTTGGGGATGATTTTTGGGGGTCTCTTCATGCCTGGGGACCCTTTTTGAGGATCCTCACTGGCATTCCTGTGGCTCCCAGGTGTACATCTCCTGCAGCGCCTCCGTGTGCCACCTGGCCCAGCCGGAGCCCTGCCGGCCCTCCTGCCAGCTGGGAGTGCCCTCACGTGAGTCTGGGAGCCTCCAGGGATTTTTGGAAGGCCTCTGCATGTCCCCCTCTTCCCAAGCCAACCTACTGCTCCCCACAGGAGCGCGGAGGTCTCCGGGGGACAGGAGGACAGGTGACAGCATGGGGACAGTCACGTCCCAGGGATGCCTTGTCTTTCCTGAGGTTCCCAAGAAACGGGGAACTCAGCAGAGAGGCTGAAGGGTGAGTGCCTTCTGCTCCCTAAAAACCCCTTCATCCCAAACACCCCTTCATCCCCCTAAGTTATCTCCTCGCCCTCTTCCTCCTCACAGCTCCAGCCTCTACCTGGATGCTGTTGGATGTCTCTGGGAAAGCTGGAAAAATAAAACCAGTGCAAAGCACGGCTCTAAGGGTGTTTTGTCCTTGGGATCAGAGGAAAGAGGGTCTCTCATCCCAATTCCCAAGCTGGCAGCAGCCACAGACCACCCCCCCCGCCCCAAAATCCCACCCTGCTACAACCCAGTCCTTCACAGGAGCCTTTTCCAGCTAGGATGACAGGGAATAATTCTTTATTTCCATACTGAAACTAATTAACTGCTTACAAAACTGCACAGTCCTCCCTTCCCTCCCTCCTTCCACACATCCCGGCCTCAAACTTCCACCAGCACCGGGATTGGGGTTTTTTGTCAGACCAGTTACAAGCACAAAACAATCTAAAGGCAGAAAACACACAGAATTAGGGAAAAAAACTAAACAATAAATTCATGGAGCACAGGGAACGCAATGCCCGACTTCCCTTGTGCTGACACCTACAACAGGGGAGTTTGATAATCCCACCTGGATAATCCCACATTGGATATGCCCACCCACCTCCCACCCCGAATCCCAAAAAATGCCAGCCCCGCTTCCAGGGCTACAGGCTGTAGAACTTGAGGCTCCGATCCATGCCTGTGGAAGCGATGAACTTGGCATGGTGGCCAAAGGCCACTCCTGTGGTCAGACCACTGTGCTCTGGGGATGGAAAACAATTCATGGTCACAATTCCAAGTGGATTTTGACCCATTCCAACCCCAGCCACTTCCATGATTCCCACAATCCCTCACCTGTGAAGTGGAGGATCTCTGTCCACTGCTTGCAGATGTAGATCTGGACATCGGTCCCGCCCAGTGCCAGATAGGTCCCGCTCTGGTCGAAAATCAGGGATTTCACCTGCGGAGAAGAATCACAACAAGGCACTGAAAAAAGCTCCAAATGGCCTTTCTGGGATACCACAACCCCTGGAACAGAGACGCTATGGGGAAAAAAGGGACATGACGCACCTCAAAGTTGTTATCCAACTGCAATGTCTTGAAGTTCTTGAGCTTCCTCAAATCCCACAGCTTGACCGAGGAGTCGTCGGCTGCCGTGGCCAGGTAGTACCCGTTCTCAGAAAAGGCGATGCTGGTGATGGGGCCAGAGTGTCCAGGGAAGTTGGCCACATTGGTGCGTTCCTGGGGACAAGGCGGTCAGAGGGAATCACAGCGCCGGGCTATGGCATCGTTCCCAACCGCCCTGTGTGGTCACGGTGTCACCAGTGGCTGCCCTGCAGCTGGAATCTTGGGATTTTTGGAGAAACTTCCAAAAACATTCCTCAAAGTCCTGCTCCTTGGACTGATCCCCAAGCCAAGCTCAGACAACCCCAAACCCCTGTTCCCGCACATTCCCATTCAGCCCTTACCTTCAGATCCCAGATCTTGATTTGGGAATCCATCGTTCCCGTCCCAAAAATGAGCCCGTCCGGGTGGAACTGGGCACAGGTGAGAGCTGCGGAGACAGCAGGAGAATCAGATGCTTAGGAAGACTCAGAGGGCTGGGAAGACTCCCAATAGTGTTGGGAAGATTTGGAAGGCTCAGGAGGGTTGGGAAGATACAGGGAGTTGGGAATATTTTGTGAGCTAGTAACACTCAAGAAGGTTGATGAGATTGGAAGGGTTGGGAAGACTCAGGAAGGTTGGGAAGGCTACCATGCCCACCCCCAAAGGAGCTCTCATAAACTCCAGGAGCCAAGGGATGCCTGGAATGGGGATAATCAATTCCAAAGCTTACCACATCCAGAGCTCTCATCCGTCACCTTGGTGAGGACACGGCCTGTCTGGATATCCGAGAAAGCCCAGTACTGGGAGAGAGGAAGAGCGTTGGATACAGGAGGGGTGGGAAGCAAAGGTGGGATGTGTGGGATGGGGAGGGATTCACCTGGTCATCCGAGGAGCTGAGCAGGTAATCACCCGTGGCGTGGAGGCTGAGCCCGGTCACGGAGCCCTCATGGGCACGGACCACCTGGACACAGGAGGCGTTGGGAACGGACCAGATCCGGATCGTGGCGTCGGGAGAAGCCGAGAACACCAAGTCCTACACAAGGAGAACACCAGAAGGTTCACACGGGAAGAATTCACCTCTGCGAGAGCTCCCAGCAGGAGATTCCACCAGAGGAGGGTCCTGATACCCAGATCTGAGGAATCCTGGAAGTGAGGAAAGAGCCAGACGCACCTGGGATGGGTGGAAGACGACGCTGGTGACTTTCTTGGTGTGGCCCTTGAGCGTGGCCAGGATCTGCTCCGAGCTCTTGTCGAACACGATGACGTTTTTGTCGGCTCCACCTGGAAAACCGAGCGGGAAGCGCTGGGATGGGAATGCAGGGCCAAGCAACTCCAAATCCACCTGCCTTATGTCCCTTGTGCCCCTTCAAACTCCCAAAAACACAGAGAAGGAGACCCACTCTCAAGTGGGAAACCCCCAGGAAAGCTCCCTTACCAGTGAGGATCTTGTTGGTGTCGGAAGGACACAGATCCAAGGCAAGAATTCCTGGGATGCTGGCACTGTGCAGCCCCTATGTGAGAGAGGAGAACTCCAAATTAATGCCACGAGCAGCAAAACATCCCACGAGGAATCAAAAAGGGATTCCCAGCTCCACGTAGGAGTTTCCCAGTCCTTTCCCATCCCGGCACTCACCACGTGTGAGGCCACCTGCCGGTACTTGCTGAGCTCCTCTGGCTTCACCAGCTCCTCCGGGACCGTCTTGCCCCTCTGGAAAATACAGGGATAAACATCAGCCTTGGCTGGAGCACGGCACATCCCAGCTCCCTCCAAATCCTTGGGTAAGTCCACTCACCTTCTTACGCTCCGTGGTCAGCACCGTGGCCTTGTCTTGGAGCTGGAAAACAACAGGAGGGTGGGCACAGACCGGGAATTCTGCGATGGGAAGGTGGAGAGGGCAACACGCGGAAGGCTGTCCCTACCTTCTGGATGATCTCCGGCGTCATTCCCGCCAGCTCTCCCAGATCCATGGCCTCGCCAGCGCCCTGTGTGGCACAGAGGGAAGAGACGTGCAGAGAGGGAATGCGGGAGCAGTGAGTGGGAAAAGGGTTGGGAATGAAAGGGAAAAGGACCAGGATGGGGAGCAGGAACTCACGGCCACGTTGGGCTGCGCTGACGGCACCGCCTGGGGCACGATGAGCCCGGCCTGAGGCTTCAGCGTGGCCAGAGCTGCAAAAACACAACAGCTTTAAAGGAAAACCGGGATACAGCACTTCCCAGCACCCCTTCCCAGGAACGCCACGCGTCTGTGTCACCTTCTCTGGCGGCAGTGACCTCCTTGGTGAGGCGGGCAATGACCCTGCAGGCGGCATCGTGCTGGTACAGGGCGTGGGACAGCTCCTGGCGCGTGGTCTGCAGCTGCTGGCGCAGCGTGAAGCTGTGCAGCATCACGGCGTCCTGCCGGGGAGCACCCGAGTCAGCCAGGGAGCGGCGGGACCCCGGCCCCGGCAGCCCCCCCGGCACTCACCCACTCGTCCTGCAGGGCTTTCAGGATGGCCGGGATGCTGGTGGCCGAGGGGGGCTTGGGCCGGATCGGGTGGGCGACTGGAAGAAAGACGGACACGTCACCCGCATCCCCGATATCCCTACGGATCACCGCGTTCCCATCCCTCACCTTTCCCGTTCCACCATCCCTCCTTTACCCTCTCCTTCCCAGCCTCCACAGCCGAGTTTGGCATCTCAGCCCCAGCTCAGCAAACCCCAAAGCGCCTCGGGCACCGCCATTCCCGCCCCCGGGAGAGCCGCTCTTCCCGGGAGAGCTTTTCCCACTCCCGTTCCCAATCCCGGCACCTTTGATGTCGATGAGCTGCTCCTCGGACAGCGGCTGGTTGTTGACGGGGTCGGTGCCGTTCTCCGCGATGTACTTCTCGATCAGCCGCCGCTCGTACACGTGGTTGGACACCGGCGACACACACGGGTGCTCCGGGACCTCGTTGGAAACTGAGGGCGAAAGGGAACGGCGGGATGGGACGGGAACGGGGGCTTGGGAACTCCCAGCCCGGTGATCCCCCGGTGACCCCGGCTGGGATCCCCCATTCGGTAACTCTCGCCCCGCCGCACTCACTGGAGCAGATGAGCGCCATGGCGGAGGCCGGGCGGTCGCGGCGCTCCGGTTACGGCCCCGCTGCCCTTCCGAGGCTGTTTCCGGTTCTCCTTTCCGGTCCGGGGTCCCGGTTCCGGTTCCGGTTGGCGCGCGCGGCCCCCGCGCCGCTCCCGAGCGCTCACGCGGGCGCCGCCGCCGGAACCGGAAGCGCTCCAGGCATCCCCCGCGCTCCCCCCCTCCCCGCCGGCGGGAACGGCGCTTCCCGGCGTGCACCGCGCGCCGCCGCCCGCCTGCGGCTGTTGCCATGGTGACGGCGTTCCCGGCACGCCCCGCGGCGGCCCCGGGGACTACAGCTCCCGGCGTGCCCCGCGGCCGAGCCGAGGGAAGCCCCGGTGAGGGGGGGTCGGGGGGGACCCCGGGGTGGGGGCTGGAATTCGGGGAAAATCGGGGGAAATTCGGGGAAAGTGGGGGGGAAATGGAGGGGAAATGGGCGGGAGGGGCTCCAGGAGGGGATAGGCGGGATGAGGGAGCCGCGGTGGGGGTTCCTGGGGGGATCCCGGGGGAATCCTGAGAGGTGGGGGGGGACAGTGGGAGGTGGGTACAGAGGGGCCTGGGGGGATCCTGGGGGGATCAGAGGGATCCCGGAGACCGCGGAGATGTGGGTGGGGTGCGCACAGAGGGATTTGGGGAGCCAGTGGGCGCTGGGGAGATCCAGGGAGGATTGGGGGGATTTTGGGGATCGCCAAGGGTGGAGGGCCCTGAGGGGGGGCGGGCACAGGGGCGATCGGGGGTTCCAGGGGAATGGGGGAACTGGGCGGGGCTGGGCACACTGGGACTGGGGGGATCCCGGGGGGATTGGGGAGAAGTGGGGAGCACGGGGGGGTCTCAGGAGTGGCAATGGTGGCGGTGTCCCATCCCGGAGCACCCCGCTCCCTCCTTTGGGAAGGACTGCCCCCCCTTCCCAGCCAGGCCCGGCGCCCTTGGCTGTGTCCCGCTGACTTGTCAATCCCAAAAATAGCCGGGACAGCCAGGCCTGTGCTGGGGGGGGGCATGGAACTGGGCTCTGGGGCCTCCAGCCTCCCCTCCTGCCTGGGGAACCCCAAAACCAGCAAGTGGACCCCAAAACCAGCAGGGTTTTCCCCTCCCAGCACCCCCACATCTCTCTTTCCCCACAGATCCCGGGTTCCAGGATGGGGAGTGCCGTGGGGCACCGGGCCCTGCTGGCCCTGCTGCTGTGGATCCCATTCCTCATGGGATCAGTGGGGGATGGAGCCAAGGATGGCCAGGAGGGATTCCGGGGACACGTCACCACCTCCGATGACCTGCTGCTCCGGCTGGGAAGATCCACTTGGGACACCCTGGAGAGCTGGGTGGGACGCCAGCCCCTGCAGATGGTGGCGGAGGTGGGATCCTGATTCCCAACCCTTCCCTGGAGTTCCTCGTGCAGGGACATGGGGGGGGGTCTACATTCTCTTTTCCTGCTTCCTTATCCCACCATCTTTCCCCACAGAGCCTCTCCACCGCCCTCTGGATCCTTTCCTCTGGGATCTCAGCAGCCCTGACCACACTCTGTGGGATCCTGGGGGATCTCCTGGCCACTTCCAGCATCAATGGTGAGTGGGACTCACCCCGTGGGATGGCTCTGGCCCCCATTCCTGGTGCCACCGCCACCGCTGACTCCCAGCTCCCATTCCCAGGCCACCGGCTGGTCCGAGCGGCAGCGCTATCTCCCGGAGAAGTCCAGAGGGTGCTGCTGTGGGCAATGGTCGCCCTGGTGGGATACTGGATGCTAGCCCGGCTTCGAGGGCTGCTGCTCCCACTGCTCCGGGGGCTGAAGCTTTTCTTTTTCCTCGGCGCCTTCCTGCATGTGGCCGCTTCCCAGGAGAGCCCCACGGTGCAGGCGGGAATGCTGGTGGGCCTGTGGGTGCTCTACACCTTCCTGGGCAGCCTGGTGGCAGCCCCGGATCCCAGCACCCGGCTGGATGCGGCCGTCAAGAGCCTGGAGTGGAAGGTGGAGGAGCTGCGGCGGCGCCAGAAGTTCGGGGGGCCCCGGAACCGGGAGGATTGAGGCCCCCTAAAGCTTGCTCAGAGCTTGGCTCCGTCATCCTAAGCATCCCAAGCGTGTGTCCCCCCGCTCCACTGAGCCCCCCGCACCCCCTCCTCTGCTTTCCGGTTCTCCCAGGGGTCCTGGGAGCGCCCCATCCATCTGGGAGGGGCCCAAAAATCAGGGGCTGTGCCTTGCCACATGTGCCACAAGTGCCTTCACCCCAAAAGCCAGCCAGCCACGCACCCCAAATGTGGGAGAGGAGCTCCCACATTCCCTGCTCGCCAGGGATGTTGTCCCAGCCGGCTTGGGGTGCAGAGGGGATCCCATTCCCCATCCCGGGGGCTCTGCTTGTTTTGGGGTCCCCCCACTGTCAGGTTTTGGGTTTTCAAGCTGCTTTTTAAACGGTTTTGATAATGTGGTTTGGAATAAAGAGGGATTTATCCGGCCTGGCCCCGCTGCTTTCCCATGGGAAGAGGGTCAGGCCTCAGAGCTGGCCCCCCAGTCCATTTGGGGTGGGAAGGGAGGAGGAGGAAGAGCAAGAGGAGGAGGAGGAAGAGGAGGGTGGTTTGTCCATGCCAGGATCCCACTGCCCTCCAGCTGCTCCTGCTGTGCTTCCCCCTGGCTCTGTGCCCCTTGCCATGGATGTCCTTATCCTTCCCATGTCCCCGGTATCCCTGGTGGAAGAGGGGAAGATGGATGGCAGCTGAGGGAAGAATTCCCAACCCTCCTGCTCTGCTCCATGGGTCTCCCTGTGGCTTGGGGTGTCCGGTGCTGGGTGGGGCTGGGAATGGGATGAGGAGCAGGGATTGGCATGGGGATGAGGAAGAGGAGCAGAGATGGGGATAGGGAGAGGGATGAGGGTCAGAATGGGGAGCAGGGATGGGAATGGGGAGCAGGAGGGGGAGCAGGGATGGGAATGGGGCGTAGGATGGGATGTGGTTCGGGCTGTGGAGCAGGAGCCAGAGCCCCGGGCACGGCCGGGCTTTAGGACCCGGCGGGACAAGGCGGCGCCGGTGCCGGTCCCGCCCCGGCCCCATTGTCTCGGCGCGGGGGCGGAGGGACGGGAGGCACCGGCGGAGCGACAGGAGGCACCGGCGGCACCGGTACCGCCGGCACCGGCGGAGGGACCGAGCCCTCCGGCCATGGCCTCGGCGCCCCGGCTGGCGCTGCTGGCCGCCGCCCTGCTCTGCGCCCCGGGTAAGTGGGAACGGCACCGAGAATGGCATCGGGAACGGCAGCTGGCACCGGGAACAGCACCGGGCACCGACCCCGACCCGCTCCGCACCCCTCCCGCCGTCCTGCCGGGATTCGCTCCCGCGTGGTTCCGCAGCCCGGGTCGATTCTCTCCTTTCCCCACGTTCGAGGTCCCTCCGTTCCGCCAGGATCCCGGGAGCCGGGGCAACCTCACCCCCTCCTTCTCCGCGTTCCCCGGGATCCACGTCCCCCATTCTGCGGGGATCCGTGCCCCCTCCCCCGCCTGGGATCCCGAGGGGGTCACCCAGGCAACGTGGGATCCGCTGGGATCTCGAGGGGGGATTCTCCTCCCAGTCCCCACGGGAACCCGCCGCCCGAGGGACTCCCCCCCGCATCCCGGGATCTGCCTGGCTTCTCCCCGCACACCTGATCCCGTAGGTGGGATCAAATCCCAGCCGTGAGGAAGCCCTGCATGGGCATCCAGGTGGGATCTGCTCCCTGTAATGAGGGATCCCTTTGATCTGGGCACCATGAGGACACCGTGAACCTGGATCCCACCCTGCAGGACACGGTGCCAACGCTCTTCCCAGTGGGGAGTGCATTCCCACAGGGAACAGCCAAGACTGGGGGAACCGAGTGGCCCCCCCAGTCCTGATGCAGGGATAGGATAACCCTGGGATAACCATGGCAGGGGTGACCTCAGAATGAGGTGGCCCAGGCAAGGGGTGACCCTGTGTGCTGCCGCAAAGGTGGGCACAAAGACCCCCACCTGCCACTCTTGTGCATTCCCATTCCCACTGTGTCCCTGCGGGATGTGACACGTCCTTGTCCCTGCAGTGAGGGGTGACGGGGAGCCCCCGGATCCCGTGTTCCTGCCGGCGGAGCTGGAGGTCCTTGGAGTGCCCGAGTCCTACCGGCTGCAGAGGGTGGATCAGGACGTGGCACCCAACTCTTCCCTGCACACCCGCTCCGAGACATTCCTGCTGCTTCGTGCTGGATCCCAGGCCCTGGTCCAGGCCACCTACGCCCCGTTCAGCATCCGCCAGGTAACCAGGACTCCTGTGTTCCCTGGGCCACCCCAGGGTGTCCCGGCCCCCACCACCATCCTGGTGTCCTTACAGGAGGTGTCCATGGAGAGCCCCCCCGGCTCAGCAGCTTGGGCCATCCGCGCCGTGTCCCTGGAGAGCTCTGTGTCCCCTGCTGAGCCAGTGGCACGTGTCCTCTTCCATCTGCATGGGCCCGACTGGATGGCTGGGAAGCAGGATCATGCTGGGACTCGGAATGATCCCAAGGACTGGGACCATCCCGGGGTCTGGGATCACCCTGAAGTCCGAGACCACCCTGGGGGTCAGGGTCACCCCAGGGACTGGGATCATCCCAGGGAGCAGGACCACCCTGGGGTCCAGGATCACCCCAGGAACCAGGACCACACTGGGGATCGTGACCACCCTGAGCAGCAGGACCACCATAGAGTCCGGGATCACCCCAAGGACTGGCATCACCCCAAAGACCAGCACTACCCTGGGATCCACAATCACCCCAAGTACTGGGACCACCACAAGGACCAGGACCACCGTGAGCAGCAGGATCACCCTGGGAGCTGGGATTCTTCAAGGGATTGGGATCACTCCAGAGCTCAGGATCTCCCCTGTGTCACCCTCCACGCTCACCACCACGGGCGGGTGGCCCGGGGGACATGTCGTCTGCAGGTCAGTGCCACCCTGGGGCCCCTGGGGACCCACATCTCCCCCCCAGCCTAATCCCAGGACCCCCTTTCCCCTGCAGACCCCACTGGGCGTGTGCGTGGTGGAGCTGGAGATCCCTCCACGCTGGTTCTCCCTGGGATCCCTCCATTCCCACCGGAGCCGCCGGCGGGATTCCGACCCCGTGGAGCCTCCAGAGCGCCCAGAACCGGCTGAGCTGCACTACAGCGTGGGGGAGTGCGGGGGTCGGGAGCGGGAGGCTCCCAGATTCCTGGGAACGCTGGAGCTGCGGGCAGGAGAGCCGGAACAGCGGCAGGAGGTGCGGCTGGACGAGAAGGTGCTGCTGAGTGTCCCCAATGTCCCCCTGCGGCCCGGGCAGCGCTTCACGGCCACCATCGCCCTGCGCCACAACTTCACTGCCAACAGCCTGACCCTGAGGTGAGAGCAGGGACAATGGGGACAGCGGGACAGTGTGGGACTCTATGTGAAAGTGTGTGACAGCGTGTGGAAGTGCGTGACCGCGAGTGACTGACACTGTGTGCCAGTCTGTGACATTGTGTGGCAATTTGTGCAGTATGTGAACATTTGATACCATGCGCACTGAGTGACATTGTGTGACAGTGTGACTGTGACACAGTGTGATACCAGCTGACAGGATCTGATACTGTGTGAGATTGTGTGACTGTGAGTGACACTGTGTGACTGTGAGTGACACTGAGTGATTGTGAGTGACACTGTGGGACACTGTCTTACACCACCTGACATGGTGTGACACTATTTAACAATGTGTGACATTTTGGGGCATTGTGTGACACCGTCTGACAGTGTGTGACACTGTGTAACACTGTGTGCTCCCACAGGATCAAGGCCAAGAAGGGCCTGCAGGTGGTCTCCGCCCATCCCACAATTCCCAGTGCCTGGAGCGTGCACCTGGAGCGTTCCCGTGGTCCCAAGCACTCCACGGCCGTGGTGACCTGCCGGCGGCTCGGGGACGTCCCTGCCAACTCTGACAGCTCCAGGTAGGGAATATCCCAATACCCCCACCCCGGTGGGAATTACGGGTTGTTCCACCCTGATCCCAGTGTGGTGATGCAGGGTGTCCGAGCCGGCCACGTTCCTACACCTGGATGTGGCAGTGGAAAACGGGACGGGGGGGCTGGCACCAGCGCGGCCCCTCACGTGGCAGGTGGAGTATCCCGGCCAGGATCCCGAGGCACAGAAGGACAAACTGGTCTGGGAAATCCAGGTGTCAGAGCGGGATGTCCGTGCCCTTGTCCCACTGGTGCAGGTGGGTGTCCCCATCCCATTCTAGCCCTCCATCCTGTGGGATGCCCCCCTCATCCCGCTGTACTTCCAGGAGCTGGAGATCCTGAACACGGCACCACTGACCGGGATCCCCCGCGTTATCCCAGTCAAACTGGTGGCTGTGGAAGCCGGGGGCGGAGTCTCCGAGCTCACGGATCCCGTAGGATGCGAATCCGCTGACAAGCAGGTGCTGCAGGTGAGTCCTGCTATCCTCTCGTCATCCCGCCTCACCCTGGGAGATTCCCATGGAATTCCGCGTGCCCTTGCAGGTGTCGGATTCCTGCGACCTGGTGTTCGTGGGGGGCAAGGAGAGCCGAGGGGCACGGGGGGCCCGCGTGGATTTCTGGGTGCGCCGGCTGCGAGCAGAGCTGAGCTTCTCCGTCTGGGCTCCGCTGCTTCCGCTCCGTGTCCAGCTGGGAGATCCCATCCTGGAGCAGCTGCGTGGCTGGAGACTGCCTGGCGGGCCTGACAGGTGAGGCCTACAGAATGGGATGGTGAGAAAAGGGGGAGACGGGAATGGAGCCAGGACCTAACATGTGGGGATGCATCAGTGAGCCCCCAGAAACACTCCTGTGTCCCAGGATTCTTGTCACCCTGTCCTGCCGCCCCTGTTCCCCTGCCCCTGGGGAACCTCTTGTCACTCATCCTGGGACTCTTGTCACCCTGTCCTTGTCCCCTGTCCCCAGTGCCGTGGTGGAGTCTGAGGACCCCGCAGAGGAGCCGGAGCGGCGGGCACGCGGCTGCCGGCCCCAGTTCCAGCGTACGGGGCTCCGTGTCCTAGCACACTTTGTGGCCCACCCCCTGGATGGTGGCCGTCACCTGTCCTACCTGCCCGGCCCTGAGTGGCTCCTGGATGTCACCCACCTGGTGGCTGCCCGAACCCGTGTCCAGGACCCCCGTGTGGCCTCACTGGAAGCGGGGGCTGTGGTGGTGGGCCGGGAGCCTGGAGTCACCTCTGTGGAGGTAAATGGGGGAGGTGTTTGGGGGACCCTGGGAAGATTTGGGGGTGTGGGAACATTGCAGGGATGGAGCTGGGGGACTGGAAATGATCCCAGTAGCAGCTGGGCAGGATACAGGGAGAGAGGGAACTGAGGAGCTGGAAGGGCTGGCACAGGATGGGAAGAGGAAATAGCGGCCGTGAGGAATGTTGGGGGACTCACAAGCTGCTTCCAGGTGCGCTCCCCCCTCTCTGACTCCATCCTGGGGGAGCAGATGCTAGTGGTTTCTGAGGAGAAGGTGACGGTGACAGAGCTCCACGCCCAGGTGGTGGCTGGGCTCTCCTTATCCCTGCGGACACAGCCGGATCATCCTGCTGTGATCACCGCCACCGTCCTGGGGACACCCACGCTACGGGCCCTCAAACAGGTGAGACGGGTGGGGAGTGACCTCAGTCGCCCCGGTGTCCCCCAAACCTCTGCCATCCCGCTTGTCATCCTGCCAGGAAGCAACCCTGTCCATCTGGTTGTCCTTCTCCGACCACACGCTGGCCCCGCTGGAGCTCTACGGGTGGCACGACGTGGCCTTGACCGTGACGTCCCTCGACCGCGCCGTCGCCACCGTCAGGGGCTCCCCTGGGGTCCCCGCTGCCCACCCATGGGTGGTGGCCGAGGGGCCGGGCCGGGGGGCCCTGCTCCAGCTCAGCCTGCACCCCTCGGATGTGTGCCGGCGTGGCCGGCACCGCGCGGCCGCCCTGGCCACCGGCAGCGCCTGGCTCGAGGTGGGGGTCCCCTCTCCCGGGAGCCCCCGGCCCTTCCCGCGGGCTGAGGGTGCCATGTCCGGGGAAGCGGTGACCGTGGGACAGAGGGACCCCGCGGGCGTGGGGCCAGCAGCCACCAAGCTCCAGGGGTCTTCCTCGGAGGAGGATGAGGAGGAAGGCTACGGACGCAACCGTGCCGGCACGGAAGAGGAGGAGGAGGAAGAGGAGGAGGAGATGGTGAAGGCTCCGGAGCGGGTGACTGACCTGGAAATCGGGATGTACGTGCTCCTGGGAGTCTTCTGCCTCGCCATCTTCATCTTCCTCGTCAACTGCATCTTCTTCGTGCTCCGCTACCAGCAGAAGGAGCTGCCCGAGCCGGGCGGGGCCCCCTCGGCCCCGCAGCCCCACAACTGGGTGTGGCTGGGCACCGACCAGGAGGAGCTGAGCCGGCAGCTGGATCGGCAGCAGCTGGATCGGCAGCAGCCGGATCGCCGGCAGCCGGAACCCCCGGCATCCCCGGGCCCCCCGTGTGGCTGCGGGGGCCCCCCGGGCTCCAGCGAGGACGGGGCTCCCCCCGGCTCCCCGGCCCCCGGCGCGCCGCCGCCCCGCAAGGAGGGATCGGCTCCAGGCGGCGGCCGCAGGAAGCGGGTGGAGTTTGTCACCTTTGGCCCCCCCCGTGTCCCCGAGGAGCCCCCCCCGGCCACCCCCCACGTCCAGTCTATCCTGGTGGCCAGCGAGGACGACATCCGCTGGGTGTGCGAGGACATGGGGCTGCGGGATCCCGAGGAGCTCCGGAGCTACATGGAGAGGATCCGCGGCAGCTCCTGACCCCGAGGGGTGACTCCCGGACCCCCCAATTCCCGGGCAAACCAGTAAGGGCCCGACCTCCTCCCCGTGCCGTGCTGGGGGGACACCGACCCCCCTTCCCAGCGGGATGGGCCAGGGACCACTGGTGGCCTCCTGGGACCACCCCGAGATGCCCACAGAGGGTGAGGGGGGGTTTCCCAGCCCTATCCTTACTGGGGCGGGATCCCGGTGGCACCGGAGAGGAATTTGGGATGCTCTTACTGCTTTGGGTCTCATTGCGACATGGTGTTCATAGTGGTGATGATGATGGTGGTGATGATTCCTGTGGTCTGATCCCGGGGGGGATCCTGTGTCCCCCCCACTCTCACCCCGGCCACGCATCCGTTTTGTACACATTTTTTATCGGGAATGCCCGGGAAGGGGCTGCCAGGGACTGGTATTTATGGAAAATTTTTAATTCTGACGTTGTTACAAAATTAAAGTATTTAAAAAAACAATTGGGGTTCTCCTCCATGCCATCTCCTCTGATCCTGACACCGGGTCCCACCCTGCCCCCATGGCAGTGCCAGGCTCCTGGGAATGGGCACGTGCCCTTGACCTTGGCTCCACGTGGGAGTTGGTCACGGGATTGGATCCAAGGCTGGGCCTGGCTGTGGCCCAGCTGGGGTCACCTTGGGATAAGGGATCTCCTTGCTCCCTCTCCTGCCATCCTCCTCATCCCCCTTTCCAACCCCAACACCAGCCTGGTACTGCATGTCCTCCCCATGGCCAGTCCCCGACATTCCCAAATGTCCCCTCAGCACCTCCCTTTATTGAGGGATGCCATGGGAATTCCCACTCTTCCAGCTTCCCAGTAAGTCCCAACAATCCCAAGACACCTGGGTAACAGCAGGAGATCCCCCACCCCATCCCCCTGCTCCCAGCTTCCCCAGACTTCCCAAAACCCCGCTGAGATGGGCTGGCTGGAGTCCTGTCCCAGCTTCCCAGCATCCTGGATCCCCAGGTGTTCAGCTGGACCCCAGCCCTCACCCACGGTGGGGATCAATATCTCCTGGGATGCCCCACCTCCCATCCATGGAAATTCCAGCCCTACCCCTCCCCTAATATTCCTGGAGGCTCCTGGGGTGATCCTGATATGCTGGAAGATGCTCAGGATGTGGAGCTGCAGGTAACATTGCCTCCAAAAAATAGAGAGAAGAGGGGAATTCCTGTCTCTTCATCACCCCACAGATGTCCCACATCTCGGGAGGCCCCGAGTCCCCCCATGCCACCACCACAAATTGACGACCCGGAGGCACAAACGAGCTGCAGATCATGATGGCTCCACCAGATCTGTATCCCCCGGGGTGGGAGCACCAGATCCACGAGGCTCCCATGCCCCGCAGGGTCTCTGGGGTCCCCAAAACCCTGCTTCCTCCCCGCCAGGGCAGGATGGAGCCACCCCATCACCCTCCTCCACCCCACAGCACTGAGTCGGCTTCCTGCCCTCTGCCACACTCCCAGAGCTGCCGGAGCACAGGGACACGACCAAGCCACGTCCCCAAGCTGCTGAGAGAGGAGCCCCCCAAATCCCAGACCCCTGAATTCCATGGGGCTGCCCCACTGAGGGGATGGGGGAGCTCTGCCTGCTCTTAGTGGCTCTTTCTGCCGTGGCACTTGCACAAGGTATGTCACTGTCCCCATCCTGGCCCTTGCCGTCGCTCTCTTGGGACCTTGGCGTGGTGGAGCCACGGATTTGGGGACCTGCCACCTCCCTGGGATGGGGAGCACTGGAGGTCCTGGGGGGTCCCCAGCAGGGGTGTCAGTGCTGAAGGATGCTGCCCTTTAACGCACTGAAATGGAGGGAAGGGGATCCCCTGAAAGGGTATCCTAAGCCTTGGGGATTCTCCTCAGGGTTAAAAGGCTCCCTTGGGTCACCCCCAAAAGCACCCTGGGATCCCCCAGAAGAGGACCTAAGCCCCTAAAGGTGCTCTCAGAGCCATCCCACCTACAATCCCTTCGTGAACGGGGTGACTCTCACGGCCTAAAGCCTAGCCTGTCTCTTTTGTGTTCCCTGGATTTGGGATGGGATGCCACCTGTCCTCCCCACCCTGGCAGGATTTGGGATTGTTTGGTTGCCAAAATGTCTGCCAGGAGCTGCTTCGAGGCCTCCAATTGATCAGGAAACGGCCCCATCACTCCATTTCCGCCCTTCTCACGCCTCCATCCCCACCTGGAGCAGCTCATTCCCACCCTCTCCCCTCATCCCTCACCTTTTCCTTGAACATTTTAACTCCAACCCACGCCGCACCAGCTCTGGTGCCTCTTCCCAGGATTCCCGCCCAAGCAGCCCCCTGGATGTCTCACTTCTGGGGCTGAATCCTTCCCCCTGGAGGAGCCAAATGGGGCATTTTTAGGGATAACTGGATCATCCACTCACCTGTGGCTCTGGAATGGGTGTAGGCAGGTGGGTACAGACAGGTCCAGCCCCTCTGTGTCTGCAGGGACAAACCGGAAGGCGGGAACAACATGGATGCAGGATGACATCCCAATTTTCAGCTCTTCCACTGCTGAGACATCTTCCAGTATTCCCATATTTAAGGTCAAATTCTCCCAGCAGATCCCACACCAGGATTTAGCCCTGAGAAACATCCTGGGGCACTCAGGGATTGAGTTTTGGGATGCAACAGCTCTATGACCACTTTGCCAGAGCACGGGGGGATTCCCGCTGTGCCACTCACAGCTGGGAGAATCCTCTTGGCCACATTTTGGTGGGTTTGGGATGCACTCCTCCAGACTGGGAATCCTGGGGGCCTCAGCTCCTCATCCCTCTGTCCTTTCTCCCCGCAGTCCCCACAGAAACGACGGGACCTCCCAGTACTCCGACCGGGAACACCTCAGTGACGCCAGGTGAGTGTGGGAGGGCGAGGGACATCCTTGCACTCACTTTTTGGGATTCTGGGATAACGCCAGGTCACCCTTCCCAGTGCATCTCCCAGGTCCCAGAGCGCTGCGGCTGGCGGGCGGCCGGAGCCGCTGCGAGGGCCGGGTGGAGCTGGAGCAGGAGGGGACATGGGGGACGGTGTGTGACGACGGCTGGGACATTCCCGACGCCGACGTCGTGTGCCGCCAGCTCCGGTGCGGCCACGCCGTGCGAGCCCCCGGCAACGCCACCTTCGGCCGCGGGCACGGCCCCATCCTCCGGGATGAGGTGGGATGCGAGGGACACGAGCGGGACCTCTGGGAATGTCCGGCCGTGCTGGAGCACGACTGCAGCCACAAGGAGGACGCCGGCGTGGTTTGCTCAGGTGGGTTTGGAATATTCCGGAGCCGGGGATGTGGGTGGCACATCCTCATCTCTGTGCTCTTCCCGCAGAACACCAGGAGTGGCGGCTCTCCGGAGGCCGGGACGGATGTGCCGGCAGGGTGGAGGTGTTTTTCCGTGGCACTTGGAGCACGGTGTGTAACAACAGCTGGTACGAGACGGAGGCCACGGTGCTGTGCCGGACGCTGGGATGCGGGGATATGCTCCAGCGGCCTGCCTTCAGGCACACGCTTCCCGGGAAGATGACGTACCTGTGCGGGAGTCTGGAGCCCTCGCTGGCACAGTGCGTCTGGGTCTTCAATAAATCCGCTCCCTGTTACCAATCCTGGGCTGCCGGGGTCATCTGCAATGGTACCGCATCCTTCCCCATGGGATTTGAGGCGCGGCCTGGGTCCTGCTCTCTCCCAAGCATCTCATTTCTGTTCCCGCCCTTTCCAGGCTCCCAGGGTTTGCAGACACCAACGCCCGTGGCTGAGGTGACGCCCAGGAATGTCACGGTCCTGCACGGTGAGTGCCTGAGCCCGTGGCCGTTCCCTGGGATCAGGGTAAAATTCCCGGGAGGAAATATTCATGTGGGATGAGCTGTGTCCGTTCTCTGTCCCAGCGGAGGAGAAGACCCCAACCCTGGGGACACCAGTGGACAGTCCCCTCTTTGTCGTGTGCCTGGTGCTGGCTGCGCTGCTCCTGCTCTCCGTGCTGGCCTTTTCCGCTGCCCTGCTGAGGCTGAGGAAGAGGAGCGGTAAGGAATTCTGGATCCCGGCACAGAATTAGGACACAACCCCAACTTTTTGGGCTCAGCTCAAGCCATGGAGTGGTGCATCCCCTTGTCCCCACAGCCGTGTCCTCCTTGGGAATACCCATGCCAGTCCTGGTGACCCACAGCTCCCAGAGCCCCAACACACACTCCAGGATCCCCAATGACTACAGGGAGAATCCCACCAGTCTTCCCAAAGGATCAGGTGGGTCTGGCAGGTCCCCCCAGGGGCTGTGAGGCCAGAGGTGCTGGCTGGTGACAGATGCCACATCGCCTTGTCACCCCCCCAGACCGTCTGGTCACAGCCATTTCCAAGGATTCTGATTCCGACTCGGAATATTATGAGTTCAGCAGCAAGCCTCCCGTCGCCCTGTCCACCTTCTACAGTGAGCATCCCACTTCCTCTGGGATCCCTGACACCCTGTCCCGGGATCCCTGTCAACCAGGATGTTCCCACCCCACTCCCCTTCCCACAGACTCCCTGCGCCACCATCCCCGGGAGGATCTTCTCCCTCTGAGACCCAGCCAGAACAGGATGGAGCCACTCCCTGAGGATGGTAAGACCCCCATGGATGGAAGGCTGGCCACCCCTTCTTCCAATGTCTTTGTTCCCACATTTGATGTCCTTATTCCCACAGAGCCGACCAAGCCGAGCGCCCCGCTCCGCAGCTCCTCCAGCTCATCCTCATCCTCATCCATGGAGCCCTATTGGAATGGCAGCATTCCCCCCCCTGCCCATGGCACCCCGTGGCACCCGGCAGCCTCCGGCCATGGCTGCGGCACAGGTGGGAAGTGTGGGAGCAGGGATGGGAGCAGGGATGAGGAGACCCCAAGGATGGGAGAAAGGGATGCAGAGACTGCAGGGATGGGGAGGGAATGGGGGTTCAGGGACCCCAAGTAGAGGAGCAGGGATAGATGGACCCCAAGGATGGGAAGATGGATGAGTTCAACCTCAGTGAGGAAATGGGACCCCACGGAGCAGGAGCAGGGCTGGACAGTGCCAGTCAGTGTCTCTGTTCCTCCCAGTTCCCCCAGTTCCCCTGGCAGCGCCCGCCCCAGTGCCCTCCCAGCCCTGGGTACCTGCAGCTCCGGCAGATCCCGATCCCGACGGCAGCTCCAGCACCTCCTCGGGGGAGTGGTACGAGAACGTGCAGGAGCCGGAGCCCCCTGGAGATCCCTCCTCACATCCAGGTGAGGATCCCACGCTGGAGGTGGGGCACACAGGCAGTTCCAGGAATTCCCAAATCCTCCTGACGGGCTCTGTTTCTGCAGGCTGGTCAGATCCATCCTGTCCCTCGGGGGAACACAGGGAGGATCCCGACTTTTCCGAGGGCAGCGACTATGATGACATCCAGGACTCTGCCTACTGAGCCTGTCCCACCACTCCAGAGGCCAAATCTCCTGGAATTCTCTGGCTATCTCCTCCAGAATTCTCCAGCCATCTCCTCTGTGCTGCCATTAAAAGCTTTTCCCACCATGTCCCTTGTCCATAGAGGTGTCAACATCCCCACAGTGACCCCGCTGGGCCACCAAGTGCTCCCACTTGCCCATTAAGTGACACAAAGATGGCCAAATATCCCACTCCCAGCCCACAGAAGCAGGGAAGGGGGCAGCAGGGCCCCAATCCAGCTCCATAGCACCAGGGGAGGGAATTAATCTGCAGGAAGGGCGGACATGGAAGTCCCACATGTCCCCCCAGAGCTTGCCTGCACCTTTCTGAGACAGTCCCCATCCTGGGAATGTGCTGTCCATAAATCCTGTCCAGGAAGGCTCCAGGGATGCTGGAAGGGAAACCACTGAGGTGCCACCCCAAACCCACTGGATGGTGCCCTATGAGGGTGGGATACAGCCCCCAAACCCTTCAGTACCTCCCAGTCCATCCATATCCCAGCAGGAAGCTGGAGCCAAGCAGCTTCCTGGAGCCAAGCACCATCCCAGCTTTGGGATTTGGGGTGCTCCCAGCTGGGAGGGGGCACAGCACCCATCCATCACCCCGGGACTGGGACCCTTCTGCCCCCCTGCTGCCGCCCATCCCAAGCCGGCTGCTCCCGCCCCGGCCCCGCCGTCGGATTTCTGTCTCCCCGGGGAGGAGGTCGGGGTTCAGCTGCACCCCAAGTGGAAAATGTGGGCCCCCCCTACATCCTCCAGCTGTTTGCTGAGCGAGAGGCCCCGCATAAAGGAGCCACAACAACGGAGGAAATCCCAAAATAGCAGCAAAACCCCGACAAAGGGCACGGGGCGAGGCGAGGGCTGAGAGCAGAGCGGGCACAGGGGGTGCCCCAGCCCCGCTCCTGGCTCCGGGTGCCAGGGGGGCTGGGAGGGAGGTGATGATGTTGGGATGGCTGGGACTGTGGCATGGACAGGTCTGGAGGGATCGATGAATTGTGGGGGGTCCTGATGTCCTGGAGGGGTCCCAAAATTCAGGGGGTATCAATGTACTGGGTGAGATCTCAATGTGAGAGGGGTAGCAGTGTCCTGAGGATGATGATTCCCAGGAGGACACCAATTCCCTGGGGATAACAAAGCCATGGAAGGTACCAAAGCCCTGGGGGGGGCACCAATTCCCTGGGGATAACAAAGCCCTGGAGGGCACCAATTCCCTGGAGATACCAAGAGCCTGGGGGCACCAGTTCCCTGGAGATACCAGTGCCCTTGGAGCGTGACAACCCAGCCAAGGTGTCACCTCCATCCCTACACAGCCACATCAGTGCCAACCCTTCCTCCAAGCTGCTCCCGCCCGGAAAATCCCCCTTTTCCTCATCATAATGATCCCAGCAGCGTGCCGACAAGCCCCTTCCTGCTCACTCCAAAGGCAGCTCCTGCTTTTTAAAAGGCTCCTCACGGCAGGCAGCGTTGTCAGCACTTCCCAGCACCCCCCAGACTCCCCCGGGAAGGGATTCCAATCATCCCGAGCTGCCACGGCACGCTCAGGATGCTGAGCCGACTCGCAGCGCCCGAGGCAAGGCAGATGTTCAATCCAAACCCAAATCCTATCCCTGGGATCTCATGGCCTCCAGAGGCAGTCACGGCTCTGAGGGAAGGGCTGGACCCCAGGCACCCCATCTCCATGGGGGTCACACAACCCCTGGATAACAGGATCTTTCCTAGAGGCACAGTGTCCTGGGATGTTTGAGGTGAATCCCAAATTTTAGGTTGATTCTGGGGGATTGCAGCATGAGTCTTGTGGGAGGACTCACTGCTCCTGTGGGAGCAGGCCTGGGAATTGCACCCCTTTTCCAGGGAATTTTCAAAGCCAAAGTGGGTGGGGAGCAGCTCCAGGATCCCCATGTGGGATATGGGGGCCTGCTCCCATCAAGATGAGCAGAAGCCCTGGGATAACTGGGATGGGAACAAGTGATGGCTACAGGGAGCACCCAGATGCTGAGATCCGACTCCAGGGATGGGGACTGGAGCATCCACGGATGGTGGAGCAGGATGGGATGGGAAGCTCCATCCATCTCTCCTTCCAGCAGGAATACCACAGAGTCAATGGAAATCAGCTGCCTCATTAGCATGCCTGACCTGGATTCAGAGCATTTAATTAGGGCACAATCAATTTAACGCCTCTGCCCTGCCCGGGTCCAGCACCGCTGGTGCCCCACGTGCCCTTGCAGGGGTGTAGGGTGTCCCTGGAATGCCAGAACCTGGGATGTGCCTGGATAAAACCTGCTCCCATCCCATTCCTGGGGGTAATCACAGGGCTTTAGGGTATGCCAGGATGGGCACCAACTCCTCTGTAACTCTGGGGGGCTCAGGCACCCCCAAACCTCCCTTGGCACTGGATATATCCACTACCTCCCTTTCCCAGAGCTGTGGAGACCCCGGGATTTGGCAGGGGCTGAACCTCACATGTTGCTCACCCCTTTCCTCTCGTGCTTGGCGGGACCCAGGGAGGCAACGGAGTCTTCAAACGGGCCCAGAGGTGACGTCAAAAAACCACAGAGGGAGGAAAAACAGCAGGTTCCTGCCCGGGCCCCCTCCCTCGCCTGCTCCGGGCCGGGCAGCGGAGGCGGCGGAGCCCCCGGAGCCTCCCGTGCCCCCATCCCGCCAGCGGAGCCCATGGCAACCCGGCTGCCCATCCTGTGCCTCCTGCTGGGAATGTGGGGTGAGTATCAGGCACCCTGACCTCGGTGCCCCGCTCCGATCTCGTGGCAGAACCTTCCCCCACGGTTTTCCCGCTCCAGGCGGGATCGGCACCTTGAGTGAGCCACAGTTTGGGGCTTGGGATGGGAAGAACCCTGGTGACCCTGCAAACCCCCACCCACCTCACTCTGGGGGTCCCCAGGGCCCCGAGATTGAGCCAATGGTGCTGAGGGCAGCCAGGTATCCCCATATCCTCATTCCCTGCTGGCTCCCTTCCTTCCCTCCCTCTTCATGGCACCATTCCCGAACATTCCACCCAGGAGCAGGGCTAATTAGCAGTAATTTGCAGGGCCCTTGTCTTTTCTCAGCCCTAAAGATCCCCCAGCAGATGGATGGAGTGGCAGCAAACCACCTTTCTCCCCCAAAAATCCCAATTTCCCCACAAAATCCCCTTTTCCCTAAACGAACCATCAGCGGGTCGAGCAGCGGAGCCGCTGTCCCCAACTCGGGGTCCCCAGGGCGGGATGCGGGATTGACACCCCATTTCCGCTCTTTCTCGCAGCCATCCCTGACCATGGAGGAGCCGCCTGGATCCCTGCAAGTGAGAATTTGGGGAGCAGCCCTTTGGGAATGCCTCCACAGCTCCGTGAGCCCGGCGGGTGCTGGAGTTGCATCATCCGGAAGCGGCGTCGCGGGGTCCCAGCTCAGGCCCCCACATTCCCTCAGCCCCTCCACGCTCCCATTACTTGCGCTGCTTCCCAAGGCCCCCACCAAGGGCTTTTCCATCATTCCCGGGGTGAAAACCCGCTGGGAAGGGAAGGAAAGCCTCGAATGATGGTGTTTTCCTGGTGTTTTCCCACAGGACCTATCCTGAGACTCAGCAGAGGCGGCTGTCGCTGCACTGGGATACTGGAGGTGAACTTGGAAAATCAATGGAGACCGATTTGCTGGGAGAGCGTGAGCGTGAGTGACCTGGACTGGGTCTGCCAGCAGCTGGAGTGCGGCCCCCTGATCTCTGAGTCCTTGGAGCTCATCATTCCTGGTGGGAAAGGGCCACAGAGTCAGCCCACGAGGTGCAGACACTCACTGGGATGCCGCTGGGAGCTGGAAAACTGCACGGAGCACGTCATTGTTGCCTGTAGAGGTGAGCCTGCACCCCCAGCCCGGCCACCTCAATCCCTAGGGATCATCCATGCCCACGTGGTCCCTTCTCTTCTCATTCCAGAGCCAGTGAAAACCACTCCCGAGCCCCCACCGACACCCCCGGCCACCACCCCGGAGCCCACGGGTAAGCACCTCATCCCGAGGAATCCATAGCCTCAAATTTGGGAACTTCTCAGTAGATAATGGAAAAAAAGCCATCCCAATCCATAACACTTCCTCTTCAATCACCAATCCCTCTCCAGGACCCCCCAGGCTGCGGCTGGTGGACGGGAATTTCAGCTGCTCCGGCTTCCTGGAGCTGCACAAGCAGGGGCTGTGGGGGGCCGTGGCGAGCATCCCGCACAGCTGGACACATCTGGTCACCGCCATCTGCCGGGAACTGCGCTGTGGCACTGCTGGGAGCAGCCACGGCGAGCCGGATCCAGGGATCCACCTGCCGGTGCGGTGGGAGGCGGTGGATTCCTGCGGGAGCCACTCCCTGCTGGACTGCTTCAACAGGACCAGCTCCCGGGGGAAAACGCCCGTCTTCATCACCTGCTCGGGTGAGAATGGAGCATCCATGATTTCCGGCTCCACTGGGATACCCCGGGGGGATTTTGGGGCCGGAACAGAGAACCAGCCCCATCTCAGCATGCCCCATGGGCCCCATCCACCCACTCCTGCTCTTCCTCTCCGGGGTGCAAAGGCAAACAGGAAATCTCAGTTCCCGGCAGTGCCCAGCGTGGCAGTTCCGAGGAGGATGAGCCAGGAAGGGAGAAAGGCCATGGCAGCATCCCAAATTCCAGCTGGGGGTGGGAACACTGGCAGGCACCATGCTGTGGGCAGCTCCCTGAGCAGCTTCCACGCCTCGGGCATTTCCCTGAGCACCTTCCACACCTTGGGCATCTCCCTGCTTCAGGAGGGAGATCCATGTCCCTGGATATCTTCCCTGCCACAGGCACATCCCTTCTTTTACATGACCCTCTTCCCCGCTACAGGCATGTCCCTGCCAAAGCATCTTCCCCTTGCCATGAGCATCTCCCAGCCACAGGCCTCTCCCTGTCATTTTCCATGAGTGTTTCCCTGGAAATCAGCTCGGTGCCAGCTCCATGGCGCAGAGAGCCAAGCCGTGAAGCTTGAAGCA